GAAGGAAACCACACTTTCAATATTTAGTGAAGTTATTACATGAAAGACAAAACCGCACTTCTTGCAGTCTTATTAAGCACTAACAATTTTCAACCGATCGAGTTCCAAGATGAACAAATCAAAACAAGACTTTCAATGTTGAATATGAACTTTGAACTTTTCAAATCAAGTTTTATGTGGATGTACAAAGTAATAAATTAATTAAATGAATTGATTCGTTAGGTTTTTAAAGGAGTTATATCCAAGTTAAATTAAATTAAATTAAACAATTATGCATGGTTAATTGATTTTTCAATATGTATTTGTTGCTCTTCCTCTTCCATCTCTTTAAGGTTTTCCGTAATTGCTTCGGTCGCCGTCATCAAAAGTCTCGGCCAGTCCCTGCATATAGCGGTCAAGAACGTTAACTCATCAAAACTAATTATGACGTGCATGCAAGAAACATTTGGCAATGCTTATGAATATACATTATTGTAGCATCTCAAGGATAGTTTTCATGGATGTCGAGTATCCCTTGATAATGAACTTCGACTTGTATACGTATCTGGAGGTACTTTGATTAGTATCATTTCTATCATTCTATGTTAAATATAATGCATTAATTAATGTCGGTAACATGAAAAGACTATCTATGCTAATCTTAAAGCACTTCAATGACTATTTAACACAATTTCATGCATATATGAATCATGATTAATTAAAATGGAATCAGTGTTGAGCATTAATTACCCGTTTGAAGAATCGAAAGTTAATCCAACGGTGTACTTAGCCTCCTCGAGAGCTGTTTTGAACCTATTTAACTGGTGTTTAGAGCAACTCCCGTCGTCTCTAACAATAAGCTCCGATGGTTTGACGTCACAAAAAACCGGTATGAGCTTCTTCTTCGCTTCCACTATACGAGCTAATTCATGCAAGCAAAAATATGATTGACAATATCGGGGAGAAAAAACCACAACTCCAACTTTACATCCGGTGATAGCAGCATCGATTTTATCGAACAATTTATCACCTGGTTTCATATTTTTGCTGTCAAGGAAAGGTCTTAATCTTAACCTCACCAGATGGTTATACAAAAGTCCGGCGACGTTCTTCTTTGTGTCAATCCCACGGTGGTTAATGAAAACATCACAAGGTGGTTGCTGCCATGTGACCATGGCGGCAGTCGGTGGTTTCTGTAGATGGAGCAGATTGCGGTAGACATTCTTGGTTGAGGAAATCGAACGTTGCATTTGCATGAGGAGAGCAACAAGTGAAACCGAGTCAAAGGTTGTATCTAGTGCTTTGAGGAGTTGTACTTTGTCTATGTTCTATTAGTTGTTGATATGGATGGTTATTTATAGATTGAAAGAGAGAAACAAATCTTGAATCTTGAATCTTGAATTTTCGAATATTTTGACTCCTTTGGTATTACGAGCTGCTACAACCCTTCAAAGGCGTACGTCGTACGATTGTTACATTAATTACAGTAAAACCACATGAAGCAACAAAACTATAACTAAATAATAATCTTATTCGTATTGTAATTTCTTTTTTCGCTTTTTAAAATACATAACAGTGTTATTATTAAGCTAATAAAAAAATTTTATTTCAATTAATATCTATATATACGATTATTTTGTCACATAAAATTCTTATGTTTTTTCTCATACATATACGATTATTTCTGAAGGCAAAAGATTTCTCTTATAATATATAATCGACATCAAATTAGATGTGATTGTGCTTAATTGGCCATCTTCATTAAAAAAGAAACTATACTTAATTGAATAATTACCTATTAATATTCACTACTCATTTCGCTTTCTTCCTTATATTGTAATTGATTTTTTGAATGTTATTGCCTATTATTACTTAGAAATATTATTTTATTGTTTTTGCGACTTTTGTCATTCCTAATAACATTATACTGAATACTCGCTATAACAATAATTTTCCTAGAAATTATTGATAGCTTTACTATATTACATTCAAAGGAACGTGGAAGATTCATTAGACTCGTTCTTGTTGTAATTAATTAATCGTAAAAAAGAAAACGTATTTCCCTTTTAAACACTATAGTTGTTTATTCTTAATTATACAAATACGTAATATAGGAAGATTAAAAATTTACTTAAATGCTTTTATTGTAATTTGTCATTTGATATATGATTAATTAAAACTAGTGATGCGATCTGTTGTAATACATATTCATATGCAGTCGGAAAAATTTAGGCATTTGGTTCGTATAATTTATCTATTTATCCGTCTATTTCTTTGTCTATTTCTTATAATAAACAAAACCTAGCTTCTTGCCACATGTCTGACTTCTACGACCCAACTTTGCCTGGTGACAACCTTCTAAACCCTCATACATTTTCTTTTAGCCTAAATTCAGTTATAATGCATTTTATTTGAAATTTAAATTTATTTTAATTACCAAAAATCTTATCTTTAAATGAAATTTAAATAACCATTCTTATCTAACGAAACATTCTTATTTAAATACGTCTAATTTAATACAAATCTCAAAAAAAATCATGAATACATTATTGTACTTACATTTATAACTAGAAACCACGTATTTCCAGTCAAAAATTCTACCACCATCGTCATTCTTCTAATCTCATGATTTTGGTCGTTCTTATACATCTTCCATCAGCACGAAAATAAAAACAAAAACAATAAACAAGATCTGGTTAGTACATCTTATTTACTTTTTTATGTTTATTAATGTTATATTTGCATTCTACACATACATCATGTTTGTTTTGTAGTGTGCAAAGGTTAAATTTTTTTTTTTTAAAAAAAAAATCATAAAATAGAATATCATATATTTGTGTCTTTGTATGTCAGTTGTTTTAATATTTATCTGCAAAACACAGCATTATACTTTTACGCAAAAAGTGAACCTTTTAGTCAAATGATTTTTCAATTTTAGCCAATTTGGTGGTCTTTGAGTGGAATTAAATTTAAATAACAGCAAACTACTTAATTATTTATAATTAACAGCAACCTACTCCAGTTTTTATGAATTTTAGTAATGTAGTATCAAAGTACATTGTTATTATTTAAAAAAATGATTTATTTAGAATATATGTCTTATAGCAATGTACTTTCAAATGTACATTGTTGTAATTTGTAAAAAGGTCAAAAGAAATATTGATTCTTTTCAAGTTTTTTAGGTTTATGCTAAAAATGAACCTTTTAATCAGATGATTTTTTCAGTTTTTGCAGTGTGGTGGTTTTATGAGATGAATTATATTTAAATAAAAACAACCTACTTAATTAAATTTAAATAACTGAAGAGGTTTGTTTAACGAGTAATGAAATGAAATCAAATTTTAGAATGATTATGAACACCGAGAGTAAATATAATGTTGTTTCAGCTCAATTATGTTTTCCAATACAGAGAGAGTTTAGACAGAAAAAGTTGCACATAAAGTATCATTGTCAAATTTTAAAACCGGTAAACCTCGAACAAGATCATTTACCACCAATTTATTTAGGTTTCGAAAGTTCAGGTGTGAAAGACGTCGATGCCAAAGTCAACTAACATCAGATGAAGCTTTCAAAAGTAGGCACACCGAGGGAATTCCAACTATGGGTTTAATGTCGAGAGTGAACATATCTCCATGTCGTTTTGATTTAAGTAAAACTTCGTTTGTGTTTACAATCGAAATTATACTTCCTTCTTCATTGAAAACTACTTGATTGCCAGTGCTCACAACAAGTTGTGAAACACTTATCAAGTTATGTTTAAGACCTTCGACATAAACAACACGATTAACAGTGAATTTCCCATTTGTAACTTTGCCATAGCCTTTAACTTGACATTTTTGATTGTTGCCAAACTTTACAACTCCTGCATTTTCCAATCTTCAAAAATCACGTAATTTTTCTTTCCTTCCTGTCATGTGACGAGAGCAACCACTATCGATATACCATTTTTCATCATATTGTTCGTCACATAAAACCTGCAATCAGTGGAAAAATTTAGGTACCCAAGGCTGTTTGGGTCCTTTATGATTAATTTGAAACACATTATGAAATGAAGAACCTAATATCCAATTACGAACTTTTGATTTGACACTATCAATTAAGTCCACTTCAATTGATAAAGGCTCAGAAATATAATATTTCGAAAGTTTAGTACTTTCATTGACTTTCACATTTTGCTTCTTAGTCTGTGGCCTTGTTGTCTTTTCATTCGAAACTGGACGCCATGCCTAGACTGAAGATGTCGAATCTTTTGACGATGAACTAACATTCGACATTTCATTCCAATACTTCTCATAGGCATTTTTGATTTGTTGTTGAGAGAATTTTCCTGTTTGATAAGATTTTCCCTTCCCTTCAAGCCAATGATCGAAGTTTTTCACATTGGATCGACCTTTGGTATATGAGACTTTGAAGGCGTTTTTGGTAGGAGGATTAGGAAAATTCGATTGTTGAGGTTTATATTTAGCATTCCATTTTGTGTGTAATTGTGCAATCTTTTTATTTTCACTATTTGGTACAAAACCTTGTTGTGTGTGATTTCGAAATTGATAAGACATTGAGTTATTTTGAGATTGAGTTGACTTTGAAAACCCTTTGATTTCTTGTTTGATTAGAAAATTGAAACTTCTTGAATGACTGAAATTTTAGAAATTCCTTTTCTTTCAATTTTTGATTATGATTTTGTGACAAAAACTTTGTTTCGTTATTTTTGGTTGTCGAAAAATCATTTTGTGATGTTGATTGAGATACATTCTTTTTAGACAAAACATGATTCTTCCTGTTAACTGAATTCGATGAAAATTTTGTCTTAACCTTTTCAGACATTGTTTTTTCAGTTGATTCTTCTTTGTCAAATTGTTTTGTTTCTTTCGAGACTCAACATTTTGCCAATAGATTTTCTTTCGTGCTTGTCTTTTTGAAATCCCATGTTCTTTGGAAAACTCGTCAATTTTGTCTTTAAACTCTTGTGTATTTATTTTATCATTTGAAGTCACAATTTCAACATCAACTGGTTTCTTTGAAGTTTCTGTTTTTGCAACCCATTTTCTTTGTGGTTTTTGTCTTTGAAATGTGTATGAATTCTTGGTAAGATTGTTTTCGACAGTGCTTTGATTGGAAAAGAAACCTTCATTCGATGTTTTCTTATTATCTTCTTCTACCATTTTGTTAAACTCAGGTTTGATCTGATCAACTTTCCCAGTTGTAACAAACACTTGATTTGGAAAGATAACATCATCGATACACTTGAATTTGGATACACAACTGAATGTGTTTCAAGGTAATGGGCACCTTTTTCTTTCATCACTTTGTCGAAATTTTCTGTTTCACCATACACCTGATCTACAACAACTCTTGGTATTTCATTTTCTTTCGAAACATCTTTTGTTGGGGTTGATTCTTTCGAAATTTCGCCATTATCCTCCTCATCATCACTGCTGTCAGTTTGACTATCTCTGACACTCACATATTCATCATCACAAACTTTCAAAGTTGAGGGTTGATCAGTGTCAGTCTTATCCAATGAATCATTATATTTTTCTTTGCCTTTAACCTTTGAAGTGACATTAATGACAGACAACTGAGAACAATCAATTTCTTCCTCTTCCTCAATTTCACTGATTTCGCTGATAGTATCAGAATTATCTTTGAGATCAACAAAATTAGATTGAGAGTCAGATTTCGAAGTCTCAGTCCTTTTAAAAATCTTTATTTGTTCATTCTTTGTTAAGGTTTCATTCACAATGTCAACTAATTCATTAGCATCCAAAAATTCATCTATTTTCACAATTCCATAAGCAAATCTATTATCAGGCACTTTATCAAACTCAGCTATTGTCTTTTCACAATCATAAGACACACAATCAATCTTTTCTCTTTCAAAAGCTAAGAATGGTAATAACTTCCTATGTCGCTCTTTGCTTATATCAGAAGAGTGATGTAAAGCAGTTAATTTTGCATAAAGTCCCTTAGCGTAATTACAATATATGTTTCTTTGTGCTAATAACATGCGAACTTCATTATTCAAATTGTCCCTATCACACATGAGATTAGTAATTTGCAACTCAAGATATTCTACTTTTGTTTTCTTCGAATCCAACTGCTTCTGAACTTCTAGTAACTAAGTACTAGATTTCTTAGCCTCATTACTAGCAGAGATAACCAAATTATCAAAATAAGCAACAATATCATCAAAAGCAATCAATTCAGAATCAAAAGCACTTAAAGGAATATTGAAAGATTGAAGAATAGA